AAGTCAGGGTCTCTAGTGTTGGGGGGCCCTAGACAGCAGAGTCTCTACTTTTGCATCATCTCCCAAAAGGGCGAGGGGTGCTTAACTAGCTCTAGACTCGAGAGTCTAGAGGGAGCAAGAAGTTTGTGTCGCCAGCTCCCCAAATGATTAATTAGCCCAGTGTCCAGCCAGTCCCAGGCTCTTCCCCATTCCTGCGCCTGGCGAGGGGAATGGCCCTCTTTCGGGGTCCCCAACTTCGGGTGGGCAGGAAGCACTCTCCAGGCCGCTAGCGACCGGGCGCAGAGACCCTGCCGGCGGCGGGGCAGCGGCGCCGCCCCCCTGCTCTCCCCGGGCTTTGGCTTTCCAGTCCCGGGAGTCGCCACCGCCCACTTCCAGCGCGACAAACAGCGGCGCGGACCCCGGAACCAGCACTCACCCACGTCTTGCTCGAAGGGATTGGCAGCGAACAGAGGCATCTCCCCAACACCCGCGCCTTAGACGCTGCGGTCTGGCTGAGACGGGCAGCTGCTCCGGGACAGGCGACCCGCGGCCGAGGTTTCCTAGATGGCTCCGCTCCGACCGCGTCCTCCTACTTCCGCCACAGCACCTGCCCGAAGCCCGCCCGACAGGCCAGCTCAGGGTCAGCGCTCCGCCCCCGCGCTCCGCCCCCAGGCCCGCCCCAGGGGCGAGGTCCGCCAACCCCGGGCATCCTCTCGGCGCCCCTGTCGCCTCCGCCTGCCGGGAGGAGGAGGCAGCCCTTGTTCCAGGGCCCCTAGGGATCAGGCGTCCTCCGCGGACACCTTCCCAACGCCAGGACCCCGGCAAGCCACGGAGCGGGGGACCTTCGGGAGCCGGAAGTTGTCGCGCCTAGAGCTGGGCGACGCCAGAGGCCCGAAGCAGCAGTGCCCGCGGCGTCACTGTGGGGGATGCGGTTGTCCCAGGCGTTCTGCGTGGGCCTGCGGGTTCAACCGGCTCCATAGTTGGTTCGTAAGCGGCAGGCTGTGCCCTCCAGGCATCCGTGGACCCGTGCTTGCATTGGCGTCACAGTGCTGTTGCCCTGGAAATGGATAGAGCCTCGGCGGAGAGGTGGCTTTGAGAGTGGACAAAGGGTTTGGTTTTCTCCGGGGCTTAAGGTGTTGCGCTCTCCTAAACCCCACCAGAATGACCGCTCTGAGATGCGGTGGTCAAAGTAACTTTGTGGGGACTCCTAAGTTTTTGCTTCCATCCTGTTGGCGCACTGAACATACTGCTGTAGGCTGGGAGTCCAGAGAAATGAGGCGCACTCTGTGCCTTCAAGTTGCTGACAGTAGCATGTACGTGACGATATATGACAATCCTGATAGTAGCATGTACGTGACGATATATGACAGTCCTCATATACAGTAGGCCCTCTTATCTGAGGGGGATGCAGCCCAAGACCTGCATTGGATGCCTGAAACCATATATATTACCAATGGTTTTTCTATACATACATGCCTATGATAAAATTTAATTTATAAATTAGGCTCAGTAAGAAATTAACAACAGCCCTTGCGGGTTTGGCTCAGTTGTTACATCGTGGGCCCTTGGATGGAAGGGTCCTGGGTTGGATTCTGGCCAAGGGCAGTACCATGGTTGCAGGTTTGGGGGGGGGGAGCTCGTTCAGGAGGCAGCCAATGGATGTGTCTCTCTCACATCTATGTTCCTCTCTCTCCCTTCCCCCCCTTCCACTCGCTCTGAAAAGCAATGGAAAAAATATCCTCAGGTGAAGATTTAAAAAAAGAAAAATTATTAACAATAACTAATAAAATTGAACTTGTACTGTAATCACAGTTATATGAATGACTGGGCCCATTAATAAGTAAAATAAAGGTTACTTGAACACAAGCACTAGGATAGCACAAGTTGATCTAGTAAGGTGGGGGCTGTTAAGTGCCTAATGGGAGAGTGGAGAGGGGGTTAGCGCACCCAGCTTATATATGCTGGACAAGGATGATTCAAGTCCCAACCAGCTGGAGCAGGGTGGCTGGATATTTCATCATGCTATGCAGAATGGCTTGCAATTTAAAACTTAGGAATTATTTCTGGAATTTCCCATTTGATATTTTCAGACCGTGGTTGACCATGGATAACTGAAACCAAGAAAAGCAAAACCTCAGATAAGGGTTGACTACTGCATATTTGGGGTCACAAACTCAAATCCCCACAGGATCCAGCCAGGTATCTAAATAAATGTAAAAGTGCAAGCACCCTCTCACCCAAATACTCCCTCTCCTTAACCCTGCTTTATTTTTTCATAGCATTTACCACTTTGTAATATATAATTTACTTATTTTCTGTCTCCCCTCTTACAAATATAAATTCTGTGATTGATTTTGTTCATTGCTGTATCCCCAGCATCTAAAACAGTGTCCAGCAAGTAATAGGTGCTCAATAAATACTTTTCAAATGTAGCCATAGCATGTATCTGAAGATAATAACTACTAGTAAATTTTAGCCATTTGTTGAAGTTTGGGCCCTACTAGAGCATCCAATTTTAAAATTATTTTTAAATGTTAAGAATTACTTCCACATTTTAACAATGGATCAAGCAAAACCATTTTTCAACCTCTGGTACAAAGATTTGATACATAGAAGAGAGAATCCTTACAAATGGACTAGATCAGGGAGGTGGCTGCATTTTATAGTATAAAGATAGATGTACAAATAAATATTTGCAGGTGAAAGGAGCTGGTTTAAAAAGAACATTGAACCTAAAATGTTCAAAATATGTTTGGAGACTTTTTGGATGGATTTGTCCAGGATTAAGGCTTAGTGTTGGAATGGAAAACAAGGCTAGATCAAGATAAGAGGAAACAGATTGGGAAGAGCCTTAAGAGCAAGCTAATTTTTAACAAAACTTTAGCATATAAGGCACTAGATAATCATTTAAAGATTTTGAGCAGCAGAATCGTTTTCTAAAAAGTTTCCAGATGTTAATCTGACATCACTGCATGATGTGTATGAAGAAGCAGATTGAGGCAGAATGGTTTAGGAGGCTATTGCTTCACTTAAAAGCCATAAGAAGAGATCATGTAGAGGAGCTAGTATTCAGATAAGAGCAAAGGGCTGAGGATTAGCCTTTGGAAAGCATTCACATTTTAAAGAGACTTCTTTAGCTTCTCCTCATCTTTCATGGCAAGCATACTCTAGAATCTGTAGGTATTTCCCTTTCTATGTGTGTAGTCAGTCTCTTGTAGTCAGTTCCTACCATTAACAAAAAGTTTTAAGCCACTAAGAGTCAGACCTTGTGTTAGAAACAAGAGGATGCAGTTTGTTACTTCATCTAGTGAAGTTATTGAAAAATTAAAAAATATGTCAGTGGCAGCCCACAAATTCTGTTGTGCAAAGAGTACAACTTTTCATTCTTCCGTTACACAACCTCTTTAGAGCCTGTCTCCCTGATAACAGAAAATAATCTTGTTAAAAATCATTCTTTTTCGGGTTTCCTTGGTTTGGGGTTTACACTCAACAAATCTGATATCCTTACCTCAGACCACTTTCCCCGAACATGTTCGAAGACCCATCCCCAGGTATGTTCTTTCGACTCTGCCAATACGTATGAAACTTGACCCTAGTTTTTGCCTAGAAATACTGGAAGCAGTTGTGGCAAACCTTGAGAAAATAGCACCTTGGAAAGCATCGTCCTCAGGTGAGATTTCTGCATGGTCTTCAGGCAAAGGGAGGCCACTACCCTCTAGCAAGGGCAAGTGCTCCACTTCTGTTGGGCCAGAGGATTGAGGTTAGTCTACCAGCTCAAAGTTCTCAAGAGAATCCACCCAGATATCCCCACTCTAGATCTCGGTCTGATTCTTTCCCTTTCAGGACCTTGACTTTAGGAGACATGCTTTGGGCTATGAATTCAACCTTTTAAATTCTTTCATAATCAGGTCCTGAGTCTGATTTTTTTTTTTTTAAACCACAATCCATGTCTCTCTGGCTATAGTAAATAAATGCATTCTCTTCCCTTGCTCTTGCTCTTTCTTGCTTTCTCATTTTTCCCTGTGTTTCAGTTTGGATAATTTCTCTCTTTAGGATGAGCGGTATGTTATTTTTCATGAGTTTCCAATGCATTTGGTTTGAGTGTTTTTAATAAACTTTTTATTTGGAATAAATTTAGATTTACAAAAAAGTTACAAAGATAGTATAGAAAATTCTCCTTTACCCCTCACCCTGTTTCCCCCATTGTTAACATCTTACATTTCCATGGTACATTTGTCAAAACTAAGAAACAAACATCAATTCTTCATTATTAACTAACTCCAGACTTAGTTGGATTTTACCCGTGTTTACCTTAATATCCTCTTTTTCCCCCCAGGATCCAATCTTGGTGTGTCATGCCTCACCAAGACCGCTCCCCGGTTCAGTGATTTGCAAGGGCTCACAGAACTCAGCATATAGTCATCCTCATGACTATGATTTATTACAACAAAAAGAAACAAAACAAAATCACTGAAGGGAAGTGGCACATGGGGTAAAATCAGCAGGCACAAGCTTCCAAGAGTCCTCTTTCAGTGGAGTCACACAGCACGTGCTTCATTCTTCCAGCAATGAATTGTGACAGCACATGTGCAATGTTGTCTACCAGGGAAGTTTATTGCAGATTCAATGCCCAAGGTTTTATTGGGGGCTAGTCACACAGGCACCCTCTACCTAACATGCAGCCAATTTCCAGACTCTCAGAAGGAAATCAAGTGTTCAGCATAAACTACATTGTTTGTGCGAACAGCTTAGGCACCGTGAGCCATCCTTATCGGGGAATTGTGGGAACCCTCTTCAGATCTAAGCTCCCAGATGCCAGTCAAGACCCAATCTTGAAAGCAGGCCTTTCTAAGGATGGCGGTCTCATATTAACTCTCTTCTGCATACCAGGGTGCTACATTCCATTTTGTTGTCATGTCTCCCAAGTCTCCTCTGGTTTTTAGCAGTTTTTTAGTCTCCTTGTTTTTCACGTCCTGGACAATCTTGAAAAGTGCTGACCAGATAACTTGTATACTGTCCCTGAATCTAGGTTTGTCTCATAGCTTTCTCATGCTTAGATGGGTGTTAGAAGATTTTGGATAGTATCACAGAGGGGAAGTGTCCTCATAACATCACTTTAGGGGGTATATAGATTATCTGATGAGGGTAACTTTCAGCACTTGGTAAAGGTAGCATTTGCCAAGTTCCTCCACTTTAAAGTTAATATTTTCCCTTTTCCTACTATATTCTTAGGAAGCAGGTCATTGAAGCTAGTCAATCAAGGGAATTAAGCTTCACCTTCTATAGAGAGGAGTATCTAAATATATTATTGGAATTCTTCTGTAAGAAAAATTTGTCTCTTTACTTATTTATTAAATTATTTAATCAACATGAACTCATGTATATTTATTTTATACTTTGGGCTGTAATCCAACAATACATTTGTTGTTATTTTTACTCGAATTGTTCCAGCTTTGGTCACTGGGAACTGTTTCATTTGCCTTCTATATTCCTTTGATGTGTCTTTTTTTTTTTTTGGAGAATATCTTTACTTTTTTGTACTACAAGATGCTCCAGGCTCACCTTGCATATTCTCTACCCCAGTCTTAGA